TGTACCTAATATGATCTAAGAATATGTTTCTCTCTTTTTTTTTGTTAAAAAATGAAAAATAAAGTGATCCAATATTGTTTTTATAAGACAATATGTTTATTAATATATTGATATGTTTATACAAAGAATACACAAAGAACTATTTTCTAAATACCGATATATTATGATATATTAGGCATATTACACGGAGAGAATTTTTTTCTTAGAGACTGTAAGAGACAAAAATCATTAATTTTCTTCTCATAGAACTCTAAGAATTTTTTCGGAATTTTTTATCAACTTTTTAGTACTGCATTTTCTTATTTTTTACAACTTGAGAAAATACCGTATTAAAAAATTCTGAAAAAATTCTCAGAAGTTTATGAGAAGAAAATTAATGATTTTTGTCTCTTGCAGCTTTTCTATAAAGTTGATAGTATTTGAGTAAAAAATTATTCAAGATCAATATTTAGCAATTTTTAGTACTTAATATCTTGTTAATTGTAATATCCTGATTAATATCCTGTATAATAAATTTGATTAATTTTATTGAGATACATAAAAATCTGTAAAATATCATATTGTACCACAACTACCGTATTTTTAGGATAAATTTTAAGAGACAATTTTCTGTCCGTGTATAGGCATACTAGGCCATATAGGATCCTATTGTCTTGTATCGACTTTGTTATCATGCCTAAATGGCAGCTTTGATCGTTCTATAATGATCTCAGTAGCAGCAGCTGTTCATTATTAATTGCTGCGAATAGTCGCGTGCCTCGTGCTGAAATATTCCAATCTGTGCAAAAGTGGTTCATGGCCGGTTCACGACGGTATCATTATGAGCTTTTACGCGCTCGTAAAGACAGAAATGGAGTGACGAAGGAGAAAACGGCCAGAATAGGGATAGTAGGGATAACAAGAAAGCATGGATATTGCAAATTTGCGAGCCGCATTACCGGAGAGAAAGCAGTTATAGCCGGAGAGGGCAGGCGGTTGAGATACGAGGCGATACTAACCAGTGCGACGTCTACCTGGAGGAACGTAAAGCTTAACGCGTTAATAAAGGCCAGTAGTGCCAAGTCGTTAGCCTCTTCATGATTAGAAGATATGCATATTAGATACGTAGTAGTTATCTAAAATGAATACGATAACGTATTCTGAAGAAAAATAGCGTTATTAAAAAATTGGATATTGCATGTATCAATTCCCGTGTCGCACTTTATGTAACAAATATTACGTTTTTATTCTACAGTTATTTATTGATATAAAAAAAAAAATAGGGAAGGAAGGTCAAGAAAAGAATGCACAGTTTAAAATGAAAAAATATGTTATGGTAATGAGAAAAATTAAAGGCGTTATCAGAAACTTTAGTTCGATAGGTGTGAACAAAAAGCAATTTGAAGACGAATAACATACATGAGTAGACGCGATGATAAAGACGTTCGCAGCGCGAGCTTGGAAAACAATTTTTCAACGAAAAACTGACGAAAAAAAAGGAGAGGAAGAGGAGGAAAGAAAGAGTGGGGGGGGGAGGGGGAGAGAGAAAGAGAGGCTGACACCCCGCCGCGCGGTGCTTTAACGAGAAAAATACCTGCAGTCGTCGAGCAATTTTATTTACAATGGTTAAACGAAATCTTGAAGAATGTAAACGGTGAACTCGTAAATCGCACCGCGGAATCTATTGTGCTTTGACTTAGAAAAATAAACCCCGTTACATCACCGTCGTGTATTTCAACACACAGACACGCGACTGTATAACTCGGATGGAAAGCAAGGTAACGCTGTTTTGCATTCTCCATCACGCTTCGCGTATTCAAGGCATGATGAAAACGCATATTTTTCAAATACAATGCGTTAAAAACTACCAATTAGTCAGTCCTTCACGGCGTTCTTTGAAAAATGTTAATAGCGAATATCAGTTGTGCCTGGAGAACAAGCGAGAACAAATACAATCACCGCAAAAGACATCGCGTGAAAGCCTTGATACGGTAAGTGAATGTAAATACCAGCACAGCTTAAGCCAAGGATGTCCCCAGGAAACGGAAATATTTGCGGATGGTTTGGTGCCGCCGAAAGTTCGGTATTCATTTAAATGGCGATACCCACAGGTTCTCGGCTCCGTAATCAGCTTACCGATTTTCCTACGCTCTCTCGAACAAATATCATCGATATTTGTTCGAGATATTTATCATGAAATTGCTATACTGTTATAATAATAATATTCTTAGAATTAATATTAATTAATATAAACAACTACAGTAATGATTAAGGAACGATAATCTTTATCTAACTTTAGAGAGAAATTTTCGCAATAAATTTTATATAAAACTGCTTCGTATAAAAGAATAATATTAGCTTGATGCGTAACGATAAAATATAAAATACAAAAACTTTGGCGCCTTACAAAGAAAATACATTTTTCCCATAATTGTAGCGGATAATATATATACGTAGTGCTAATTTATTTATAGGAATAATAACGAAGAATCGAACGAAGACCACTTAATAACGTTTTATTATAATTTAGCTTGAAAAAGTTTTTATTATTTCACCGTAAAAATTTATAGCACTTTTATATATTTTTTTTTAACTAATTGTAAAAAAAAAATACAAGGATACTTAATAACTTTGTAAACGTATAAGTGGTTTAAATTGCTTTTCGATTGTCACATATAAGCTCATTGATCCGATTATATGAGGTAAGTCGTGAAATTTATTGGTTATCGTTTCTTGAAACCGATAGTTATCGATTCGATGTAAGAAAGTATTTTTGTGATCATCTATACTTCTGTGTTAATTCTATATAGAAAGATCGTGCAAAATAATAGAATCGGATGATGGTGTTAACTACAACAGGAGAAATTCTGACAAGAATGTAAGCCAGTCTCGCAATGTTATTTATCGACGATATTCGGTTAATAGAACGATTTCGCAATTACGCGAAGCAGGATTTTATCAACGTAAGTGCGGATTTATTATATCTGTTGTAAATGTGTGCTTTCGAACTTACGTATCTCACTCCTCGAATGATGAGTAAACGTTATTATGGAAGAGAAGTACAATGCTCTCTGGAGGAGGCGATCCTTCCCAAGGCAAGCAGGTGTGTATAGTCGTTATTCTTTAGAATCATTTGTTCAACCGTTACGTTAAGGGTCAGGGCTAGAAATGATAAACGATCCGTTCTCTTACCCACCTCTTCTCCGCGCCAGCGGGTTCCGTCCCGTGTATTTCTCCTCCGAGATCACCTCCGAGGGGAATATAACAGGCGCATCGGAGAAAGAAAGAGGGAAGGAGATAGAAAAATATGACCGTCCCGGTTCCTTCGTTCACCTTCGTCTTAATGTAAGCGAAATTTAAAGAGGCAATTCTCTCTCTCTCTCTCTCTCTCTCTCTCTCTCTCTCTCTCTCTCTCTCTCAAAGAGGAAATTCGTGACCTCGATTATGATGACGATCAAGACGATGACGGCGCATCGCGACGGAAAAAATGTGGTGGGACGCGCGCGAAGACGCGCCGCCGCCCCCGGGACGATTTAAATCAATTCGCCGCGTACCATGGTAGATAAATTTCCGGTCTGACGTTTAAGCGATCGCGAAAAGTTTTTCGTAGCAAGCCGTACGTGCGATATGGCCTGGTATAAAAGTTTGCTCTTCAAACGATCCGGTCGGCAAACTTCTTTTCGCGCCAGTACTTGGGGTATACCGGCGCATGATTAAATCGGATATATATCGCATCGCGCGAATGATGTATGCGAATCGCTTGCGTTCTGCGCTACGACGTACGTGCGTTCGATTATCGGCGAGTAATTACTTATGAAAACTCGAGAGGCGAACTGTTCGACACGTTAGCGCGTATCTCTTCGAATTTATCACTCGGCGCGGCGCGGCGCGACGAATGGTAACGGCGATAAAGGAAAGCGAAAAAGTTGAAGGATGTCGTTATCAAATTTAAGCCAGCGCGGATAATTTTGCGGTAATGGAAAGCCCTATCTCTGGGAAGCCCTATGGAAGAAGAGGGCAGAGCTTAGCTCAACATCGGTATCAACCAATCCCAGGTGTTCAATTGGCGCTCTGCCAGAATTTAAGCTTGGCTTAAATTTCGTGCAGTTGCTACGTAACTAGGGCAGATTCAGATTAGAATTAACTAATTGTTGCGTACACCGTCGTAATTAGGCAGGATTCCCGCATGCTCCCCGCATACTAATATTTGATAGAAACCTAACCGCGGGATATCGTATACGGGAGGAAGCTAAAGTGCTAATTCCATGGCACGCAATCGTGACGTCTTACAATCCATCGGCGGTAATATTTAGAAATGAATTTTTACCTTCACAGCAATTTTTACCCCTTTACACACCGTTCCATCCGGCCATTCTATGTAAAATTATTCAAATAAACTTACCGATTACATTTAAATGGACTAGATGACTCATGTGGGGCGTCGTGGAGACCTGGCACTCGTAAATACCGCTGTCCCGATGCTGTGGATACTTTATTTGAAGCGTCCAGTCGTCCGAGTGAGCGTTGTGGATCGCTCGAAATCGCTGGTCGTTCGTGTACGTGTAACGGCCAATTGTGAGCAAATGGACGTCTCTGTGCCGTACCCACGATACTTGTAGCGTCATCTGCAAAGGAAAAACGAGATGGGAGTCGGGAGACAAGATCGACTCGTGAGAATCACGAATGATTTCACCTGGTAACCCTTTGTGCACTTGCTCAGGATTATTTATTAGGATTACTGTTACACCGGGACATATAATTGGTGGTTTGTTTGACGTCCCGGTAATTAGCCAATTATAATCAAGGCTTTCAATCACGTTCCTAACTTGAAAATGTTGAACGTGTTGAACTAGTGTGTGTGAGACTTATCAAGAAAGCAAATTTTCTTGCATACAATCAAGACATGAATAAATGAAAATTTCTCTCAATCTATACATCTGGAAGTCTACAGCAAAATAATAAGTACAAGTAAAATGTTCATCCCAGCGTACGTTATCGTGTGAGAGGATAATAAGTTTTTCTAAAGAAACAAACGCTTTTATATATCAGGGGAATTAATCAGGGTACTGGGAATCGCGAAACGTGAATCAAATAATTCAGTTTTTTTTTTTTTGGTCTTTGCGCATCGGACAAGTCGGAAAGATGGGGATCGTTCGCTTCGAAAGCATAATTTATCGCTGCGCGTACCAACCGCTGTCTTTTGACAGACGTAACGCACGTGCACGAGACAGCGACTCGTAAGTTGATATCGCTGTCGCGGTTTCCAATGGCACATGTAATAGAATAAATTACAAAGCGTGCGCGAGATCTAAATTCAGACTAGCGAGTGGCGATATACGACGCCACATCAGATACAACTTTCGAGCGTGCGCTCGGAGCGAGCGTTCCTTCCTTCTCGTACGAAGGAATTAATAGAGTCGCTTTGCATATCGTTGCAAAGTTAGCGTGCGAGATAAAACGCCTCGAGCTGAGATAATTGGACACCCGGACCCAGCGACGTGTAAATATTTGCATCCTTCGAGTAAGGTCGATACGCATTACTCGAAAAGCACATGAACGTGTGCACGTAGTATAACGATTCAGATGCGTTTCAAACATGGTACTGCAGACGATGTCCTGAATGTGGCTATCGTATGCAGAAATGCTCGTTCCCGATTCAATATTGCCGGACAAATTGAATGTCGCGGTATCGAAAGCTAAGTTTACGTCGAAGGTTGGAATTAATTGAGCTTTAATTAAGGCTTAATGACGCGAACAAGTAAACACGGGACACATTACGCGATGCATGGAAAATTGAATTAATCGAGTTAAAATTAACCGAGTTTGCCACTGGTCGTCCTAATAGCAGCAAAGGGGGTTTAAAGTTTGGAATTAAATATTACAAACATGGAGTCAACATAACGTGATAGGATTCATTCTCTGTTTCGTGTACCTTTAAATTTTAATGCTTGCTTCAATTTCTGTCCA